TGTGATTGGATGAAAGCGCACACTGTAACCCCACCCAACCCCTCCCCCCCTTTTTTTTCCCTTCCCGGGGAGGGGTGGTGGGGGTGGGGTGGAGAGATAGGTAAGGTAATTTTCGAAATGACACATGATGATGATGAATGTTTTTCTCGTATGTCCACACCTTTCCATTAACATGTATGTGTGCTAATCAATGCCGTTGAATATTTCATTTGGCGGCATCAGTAACAGATGCAAGAAGAGGCACCGCCCGGCCAGCGAGAGACATATCCGGCCCACCAACTTGACCTAACATCATATCTACATTCAGCTGTGGGGGGGGAGGGGGGGGGGAGTGTGAGTGTGGGAACAGATCCTTCTCATTATATAGGGAGTGTTCCCCATGAGATTGAGCCTTGTTTAAATGCGTAATGACTTTTTTTTTTGGCTATCACTTGGAGTTTCGAGGAAGATATAAGGTCACGGCCGAGGCCATTCTCGGACACCTCGGTTTGATGACCATAATAACACTAATAGTTAATATGTGCCGACTGGTAAATGAATATAATATACTGGAAATAATATGAAATGAATACAAAATACTTGAGAAGACAACGTCCATGTTTCTTTTCTTTTTTTTAAAGGAGAAAAAAGGTAGGGGGGGGGTGGTGGGTGGGGGGGGGGGGGGGGGCTATATCCCCGCACCTATGTTTAGGTCCGACATTCATTTTTAAAATGCTATTGAAAACCGCTTGATTTATTATTCTTATAAGTCGATTTTTATTAAGTAGACCAGAATGTTGCACCACATAACATTTGATTCTTACTTGAGCCCTCCCCCAATCAGGTTTGATTATTTTACATTCAGCAGCAATATCCCATGTCGACTGTTTCCGGGAGGAAGGAGGGACACTCGTTGACCACAAGGGAAGGGCAGTTAATAAACTTCAGGGAGTGAGGGAGGTAGGTTAGGACAGTTTATTTACGTTAGGGAGGGAGGGAGGTTAAAACAGCTAATATACGTTAGGGAGGGAGGTAGAAGGGTTAGGTCAGCTAATGTATGTCAGGAAGTGAGGGAGGTTAGGTCAGCTAATATACGTCAGGGAGGGAGGTTAGGACAAATATACGTCAGGGAGGGAGGTTAGGATAGCTAATATACGTCAGGGAGTGAGGGAGGTTAGGACAGCAAATATACGTCAGGGAGTGAGGGAGGTTAGGACAGCTAATATACGTCAGGGAGTGAGGGAGGTTAGGACAGCTAATATACGTCAGGGAGGGAGGGAGGTTATGACAGCTAATATACGTCAGGGAGTGAGGGAGGTTAGGACAGCTAATATACATTAGGGAGTAGGGGAGGTTGGAAGCTAATATACGTCAGGGAGGGAGGGAGGTTATAACAGCTAATATACGTCAGGGAGGGAGGGAGGGAGGTTAATACAGCTAATATACGTCAGGAAGGGAGGGAGTGAGGTTACGACAGCTAAGATACGTCAGGAAGGGAGGGAGCGAGGTTATGACAGCTAAGATACGTCAGGAAGGGAGGGAGGTTAGGACAGCTAATATACGTCAGAGAGGGAGGATCAATACTTGCCGTCTACAAAAATTAAAAACGAAAGAAAGCACAAGACAGCGCCAGTGCAGCGTGCCTGGCCTGGCGGGAGGGAAGGTGAGGCCAGGAGACCCGTTTGTGAAATTATTATGGAGGAGGAGGTGACGAAGGTAACAAATTATCATTGGACAAATCACAAGATCAGAGGTCGTCGATTTCTGATGCCATTTTCGTTTTATTACACGGCTGGAAACTGTGGCCATTCGCCTCGTCAGTCGCCGAGTGCCGTGAAGGCAAACAAGAACACAAGTATGCGCCCTTACCTTGCACTAGATGTTCCAGAGCAGTGCGGAATAGGAGGAGGAGGAGGAGAATAAAGACGGAGAAAAGGATGAGGACGACGACGAAATTTTAGCTGCCCTACATCTTATAGAACATTCAGTTTACCAGCCTGGTCTATTGCTCGCCCGCTTTCCAAGCTAGCCCTGCTAGCAGGCATAGTAATCTGTTTCCTTTCCACCACACCCGCATCGTTATCATCACCACTATCATCATCAACATTGACCTGATATGTTGGTATACATCATATAGAGTTTGAATTCTAATACTCTAATCCACTTTATCCTCTGTAATTATTTCGATAGTGTGAGTGGATTCCAGTGCATCATCTTTGGCCTCTCGCAGCAATGTTCTTGCTAGGCTCCTCTTGGTCGACCTATGTTTCTCATTTCAGTACCTGTTTAGTTATTCTCGTATGCCCGAGGACACAAGATAGGTGATATATGCCCGCGCAAGAGATCCCAACCATCACGTCTGTGTAACGTCAGCACTATATGAGGTCCAGCTGTTTTGTCGATGTCATGCAGCATATATGGGTGAGGTGCTTCTTCGTTCAGTTCTCGTGGGCAAAAAACAGCAAACAAGTATCGGCGAAATGAAAATATCAGGCAATGAAAATTAATATTTGTTTCACCGTTTGCCTCAACTGTTGTGGGGAGAAATAATCAGTGATCCAGTGGTCGGTGGCACTGGTTTTCGACGGTCGGTGTGAATAGATATTTTGAGAGTGTGTATAATATGAGTACAAGACAACATTGTATGTAACTGCACGATGTAGTGAGTTACTGGTTTTCCGGGCAGCAAAGCCATAATATGAGTTACCAGGATGCTCATAATCAAAGATCTATGTCAAATCTAAACTATAGTAAGCATCTTCAGCGAGATGGACCAGTTTGGTTGGCACGTTGAAATACGCGAGACACGTACTGAATTAGAAAGTATGTAAAATATAGAATAACCCTTGACCCCAAAGGGTCGTGGAGGTGTATCGATGGAATCTCTAACACACAAAACCCTCAATCGTTTTCTGTCTTCCACTTGTGGCACAAGTGTGTGATAACTGAGTCCTGGCCATGTCTTGATGCTGTCATAGGGCTGCGGGTAAATGTATTTGTAAAACATAAAGGGCCCTTTTCCACGCCTTTAGACGTATAGGGCATATAGGGCTAGACCTATATTTTATAGACCAACCGGCGCTTGGTAGGTGATGTAGTCAGCGTTACACAGGCCGCATTTACTTCAAAGGACTGTACCTAGTACCCACTCAAGGCTGGGTCGACCTTGGAGCCAAGGTCATTTTTGAAAGAAAAATCTGGCCTCTGTCACAAACCAAACCCACGACCTTCCGATCCCCATGCGAGCTTCTAGCCGCTAGACCACTGATGCTCCCAAGCGTACCTGCACAAAGCCTAATATGGTTATATTTGTAATGTTATAAGACGTCATATACTCTGTGCTTCCCAAGTAACGCCTGATGTGTGATAAGATATCTTTGTGATGTACCTAGCAACGCGTGAAGAGTCTCTAGGCTTCACACCATACTTCCAAAAATCTATTTTTTTTAAACACCTAACACAGTTGATCTCTTCATATACTTAATTTTTCTTCTTCTTCGTTTTCTTCGCGTTCGCCGTCTGTAAACTCCAGCGGAAAGTTCTTGTTGTTCGTCCCCTTCTGCACTTCAGTCTTGCTCCACAATTTGAGTTTGGCGTGTACATCCGTTTTAAAGATATGGCTTATTTGTATGCAGACTGTTGGTTCCTCGACTCCCAGGCAGATGTGACCTCCAGCCTCGAAGGGTACTTCTTGATTTAATTCTTTTGTGTGTGTGACTTACCTATTGGTTTACTTCCTGATTTACCTATTGAACTACTTGATGATTTACCCATTGATTTACTTCCTGATTTACCTATTGACCTACTTCCTAATTTACCTATTGGTTTACTTCCTGATTTACCTATTGACCTACTTCCTAATTTACCTATTGATTTACTTCCTGATTTACCTATTGTCCTACTTGATGATTTACCTATTGATTTACTTCCGGATTTATCTACAGATATAGTTTCTGCTTTACTTCTTGTTATTTCTGAGTAAAATGTCGACAACATTGACTCTAATGTAAATAAAAAAGGCAACATCTCACATCAGATCTCATTGCTAGCGGTTGTGGACAGACACAAGCTGCACAAAAAGTACCCGCCACGTGAAAGAGTGTTGCCCTTGCTTTCATTAATTCAAATGCTTTTTTCTTCTTCTTCCACTTTTCATCCGTTGCCTTCCTGGTGTTGTCTGTCTGGTACTTTTCCTGTGTTGTTATGATTGATATGATCTGTCTGGTATTTTTTTTTGCGTGTTGTCCCGCCCGATGTTATTTCTGTGACACCCATACAGTGTTATTACTGCTCCTAACTGCTGACAACGCCACTTATCTCAATGTTATTTTGTCTGATGTTTAAGCACACTCTTTTCTTGATTATTTCCAGAACTTTTATTTTTGTCTGGTTTCATTTTAAGGCAACAACATTACGCAATAACTACAAGACCTAGACCGGTTGCGTCTCGGCAGCTGATGCCGAGAAGTGTTTTTCAACCGCTGCTCCACATGTCTGCCAAAATGTCCACCCAGTCATTAAGCAGAAACAGTGTAAACGAGAGAAATCCACTGAATGTTAACCACGGCGCTTTGTCTCTCAGAAACAACGCCCTATGCATATTTATCATTTTTTCGAACCCTAAGTTGCAGCAGACGTCGTATCAAGAAACATTTTAATTGTATAGAATTAGACGTGATAAACAGCACGCTTCAAGCAAGTGAGTTTACTTCTGCAGTCAGCGGGTCCTCGAATGTAAACAAGTTGAAGAACACTGCTGTAGAGCACCAAAAGGTTGTCTGACTCTGCAGTCTGTCGGGCTTATTGGGGTCAGCAAAACCCACAGAGGAGTCGCCAAGTTTTTCTAGATGGAGGTCAGTTGACATGAAACAAACAGCCACCAGTCTCGTAGGGACAATCGTTGCAATGACAACACATAATGATTGACTGACTCAGTCAGAAACACGCTTACATGCATACAATGGGTTGAACAGGATTGTCGTCATGAAGATCTCCGGATGCTGGGTTGTATGTGAGAGGTGTCAAAGAATGAAGTTGTCAGTCTCCCGTGGACTTCTGGTCGTTTGGTATGCTGAAATGAGGGATATGACAACTGTTGAATGTCCTGTTAGTTGATGGATTCGTTCAAGTAGTAACACACACACACACACGCCCAAGCATACACAAACGCGTACTTTCACATACAAGACGCGAACGTACATACATAGATGCATACATATTCATAACCACATAATACACACACAATATACACACTCATACAGAAATACTCATGTTTACACCCAAACAGGCACACACACATATACTCACGAATATTCACGCACGTACATAGACACAAATATATGCTTGATTGTGTATGTGTGTGTGGGTTGGGAGAGAATGAGTGTGAAAGAGACCTTCATACGCATACACACACAGACACACACACACACACACAGAGAGAGAGACAGAGAGTGAGAGAGATATATAGAGAGAGAAAGAGAGAGAGAGAGAGAGATGAGACAGGAGGAGACAGAGAGATAATCTTCACACACAATAATATTTCCAGCTGTGTAATTCTGTTATAAGCAGGCGTGTGGAGGCTTGTTGATACAACATAGCTCTGACATTTGACTCCAGGTTCACATTGCGCCATTTATGGCAGGAGACTGACACACTTATTGGAGGTCGGTGTTCGATCAACGTGATCCATAACATGGCAAACAATAGACAACCAAAACCACTACAGCATAGAAGCCAATGTTAACATACAAGTAACAGTATTGTCGTCATCTTCCTCTTCTTCTGCTTGTTGTTGTTGTTGTTGTTGATGTTGTTGTTGTTGTTGTTGTTGTTGTTGTTGTTGTTGTTGTTCTTCTTCTTCTTCTTCTTCTTCTTCTTCTTCTTCTTCTTCTTCTTCTTCTTCTTCTTCTTCTTCTTCTTCTTCTTCTTTTTCTTCTTCTGCTTTTTCTTCTTCTTCTTCTTCTTCTTCTTCTTCTTCTTCTTCTTCTTCTTCTTCTTCTTCTTCTTCTTCTTCTTCTTCTTCTTCTTCTTCTTCTTCTTCTTCTTCTTTTTCTTCTTCTTCTTCTTCTTCTTCTTCTTCTTCTTCTTCTTCTTCTTCTTCTTCTTCTTCTTCTTCTTCCTTCTCCTCCTTCGCCCAATCCTCCTCCACTTGCTCCTCTTAGTCCTCCTTTCCCTCTTTTTTTCTTTGACCACTTTTTCGTCTCCTTTTCCGTTGGATGGCTGTTAACTAGTCTAGCAAGGTGGAAAAAGCACTTACCATCATTACCCGAGCGAAGTGACGTCAAATTATGTATAGGAACAGCTTTCTAGCTCGAACCCAAACAAGACGTGATTTGTCGTTCACTCATCCTTCCTGACCTTTCACACGCCCGACACTCTGTCATAGGGGTGTCTGGTTTTTAGTTTTGCATGGTCTCATAGTTGTCTATTTCACACCTTGTAGTGTGTGTGTGCGTGTGTGTGTGTATGTGTGTGTGTGTGTGTAGGTGGGTGGGTGGGTGGTCGCCGGCTACGGTGGGTATATGATAGCTGTTTCCGATTTGAAGTGGGACATGAGTTTTTTTTTCAGCTGTCGCCGTTGGCGGGCGACCAGGAGGGTACCCTTGCTTTTATTTTGCAGTACAGAGTTTTGGGAGCGACCGCAAAATGTTAAGAAATCTGAAACCACAGGGCTTAGAAAACACTCTATTGTGGCACCTAGACTGAGGCTGTGGGGAAGGGGGCTTCGGGTTAGCGCCAGTTGTAGACCTTATGAGGTCGCCAAAGCTGCTCACATGCTATAATATAGAGCACGCGTTGTCGCCTGTGAGATCGTCGACACAATACAACCTGGCACCCCTGGCTCTTCAAAGGTTAAGAAGCATGAATGAACGTCTAATCACGATCTTCTGCCTGGGTCCAACTTCGTCACTAGAACCCAGTTAAAAATTACCTATAATTAAATCGCATACACACAAAACACAGCACCGGCCGATCGGCCATAAGTGACAGACAACACAGTGCTGGCTAATCGGCCATACCTGACAATTCTAAGGGCGCCAGAGCCATGTTTGACGTCAGTGCCTCCATCTCTTCATTTGAACTTTGACCTCTGTCTTGACGACAACATCCTCGAAGTATAAAATAACACATCATCACCTTGACCTCCAGGTTCTTCACTCCGTAGAAAGACACGTAAACGATAATAAAGAAGATAACAGTGCCGATGAAAACCGCGGGAATCAGCCACGCTAGTTCATCAGTCCTGCTAGAATATAAGTACAAAACATGGCCGCCATTAGTCAGGTTATAACCTTCGACATTTACGAGGTCAAGTTCAGGAGCTGTCAAAGGCGTGTATGGAGCACCCATGTACTGGGGCAGGTCTGAAATTATCTTAGAATTGTTTTTATACAGGTTAATGATACTTTCTTTGGCGTCTTCTGTGTCTAAAGACATAATAAGGACGCTATCCTCAACGTAAGAAGCTGGAGTAGAAGTGGGTAGTTCTGTGACAGTGTGCACAGATGTAGCTTCTCCCGTAGGTTCATCATAACTTGTGTTGCGCCCCATTGTATGGTAACTGGTGTCGAATTCTGAGGTTCAGACTGGCCAAGAATAAGAGTCGCCGAGAGAACTTTCCTCACAAGGAAATCAAGAACCTTTATTTGGGCTCAATTCAGCAACTGCAGAGACAGAAAAGGATAATATTATTACTAATTTACGTAAACAAATAAATTGTAAATTCACATTTGGTTTCACCCATCTTAGAAACCCGGCAGTGCCCAAACAAATGGCTGTCAATAAATGAAGGAGAGAAGTAAGCGACAGTTATGAAACTCTTGTTCAGTCGTAAAGAATCAATCAGCGGCGTAGATTGGACATGGCTGTTGAAAGTAGGACATCACTGTTGGAGGTGGGACATGGCTGTTGGAGGTAGGAAATGACTGTTGGAGGTAGGACATGACAGGAAATGACTGTTGGAGGTAGGACATGACTGTTGGAGGCGGGACATGGCTGTTGGAAGAGGACATCACTGTTGGAGGTGGAACATGACTGTTGGAGGTAGGACATGACTGTTGGAGGTAGGACATCACTGTTAAAGGTAGGACATGACTGCTGGAGGTAGGACATGACTGTGGAGGTAGGACATGACTTTTGGAGGCGGGACATGACTGTTAGAGGTTTTATTATTATTTAGAAGAAGATAATGACAAAGTTGAGCTTAGACATAGCCACGAGAAGATAATTCAATGCCTCGTTCTACTGTCCCTCTCCGGGTTCCAGCAAGGTGTGAACAGTCTCCTGTTATCTATCTGCCACCCACCAAAGATCTGTTCTTGCCAAACTGTGGTTGGATATTGTGCAAACATGTCCAAGCCATCTCCATTTTCTTCCGTTGATAACGTTTGCCAGATAATGAGCATTTTGTTTTCGTCATAAGTTCCTTATTTGCGATGATGTTTGGCAAAATTTGTTGCAGGATTATGTTTCAACATTTAATTTTCGAGTCTCTTGTTTATGTGCAATTCCTGATGTCATTCTTAAACTGTTGTATAATAATAATCCCTAAATATTGTAAAATCTGAGTTTTGTCTTCAAACTTACATAGTAATCTGCTGTATACTTTTGAGCTACTCCATTGTGTAATCCACTGCATACCTTTAATCAACACAACATACATGAGAAGACTTTGCAATCCACACAAAAAACAAAAGAAAACTTCACAACGTCAACAACACACGGGAGAAAACTTCACAACGTCAGCAACACACGGGAGAAAACTTCACAACGTCAACAACACACGGGAGAAAACTTCACAACGTCAACAACACACGGGAGAAAACTTCACAACGTATACAACACACAGGAGAAAACTTCACAACCTCCATAACACACAGGAGAAAACTTCATAACCTCCACAACACACAGGAGAAAACTTCACAACCTCCACAACACACCGGAGAAAACTTCATAACCTCTACAACACACCGGAGAAAACTTCACAGCCTCCACAACACACAGGAGAAAACTTCACAACCTCCACAACACACAGGAGAAAACTTCATAACCTCTACAACACACAGGAGAAAACTTCCCAATCCCCACAAACTACAGAGGAAAACATTACCGATGCGAAGAATCTTATCTAACCAAATCACAAAACTCAAGATTCAAAAAATGTATATTGGTATCACTTGTACACAATGAAGAAAATCAAGTCACACTGAAGGCTCAAACCTTCTGGCACCCTCCGACACCATGCACATTTTCAGACTGTGTCGGCACTGGCCAAAATCTTCCAGCCCACCCTACCGAGAGCACCCGTGTGTGAAACATGTAGGTAAAGCTATATTTAGATCTGGCGTGTTGTAAGTGCACGGTCTCTGTGAGGCCTGCTTTTCTAGAAGCTGTTGCTGAGAAGGAGTGGGACAGTCTGGGGGTGAGTCGGAAATGGGACATGACTTTGAGGAATTCCCCAATTTGGAAGGGGGTTGAGTAATGCTTGCTTTTATTGGAGCCTGTGATGGTCAGTGCCTTAACTCTTTTACTCCCATGCAACTACTGCTTCAACTCATTCTATTTTACATGTAACTACTATAAGTGATACATGTATGAGCCTGAAGAGTTGAAATTAATCAAACAGTAGGGGTTAAAGTAACAAACTGGGAAGAGTAGTTTCATGTATTGACCGGATTAGGAGCAAGAAGTTCAGAAAGGTTGTACATGTGAGCAGATACCAACAAACGCATGGTGAGTTTCTTGGTATCAAAGGAGATAACGTTTGTTTCTCGCAGCAAGGCTGTGCTTATCAGTTTCCTATTTTTATTGCAAAGCTCCTAATTTATGTCTGTCTTTATTTCTCTGTCTCTCTTTACGTTGCATCTAATTTAGCCTCATCAAAAGAAGTCGTGTCATCTGGTGTGGTTGTTAAAGTTGTCAGTGTCAGTTGTCAGTAAAAGAGGTCACAGTGAAAGTTCTTAGTGGCAGTTGTCAGTAAAAGAGGTCACAGTGAAAGTTGCCAGTGTCAGCTGTCAGTGAAAGAGGTCACAGTGAAAGTTGCCAGTGTCAGCTGGCAGTGAAAGAGGTCACAGTGAAAGTTGTCAGTGGCAGTTGTCAGTGAAAGAGGTCACAGTGAAAGTTCTTAGTGGCAGTTGTCAGTAAAAGAGGTCACAGTGAAAGTTGCCAGTGTCAGCTGGCAGTGAAAGAGGTCACAGTGAAAGTTGTCAGTGGCAGTTGTCAGTGAAAGAGGTCACAGTGAAAGTTGCCAGTGTCAGCTGTCAGTGAAAGAGGTCACAGTGAAAGTTGTCAGTGTCAGATGTCAGTGAAAGAGGTCACAGTGAAAGTTGTCAGTGTCAGCTGTCAATGAAAGAGGTCACAGTGAAAGTTGTCAGTGGCAGTTGTCAGTGAAAGAGGTCACAGTGAAAGTTGCCAGTGTCAGCTGTCAGTGAAAGAGGTCACAGTGAAAGTTGTCAGTGGCAGTTGTCATTGAAAGAGGTTACAGTAAAAGTTGTCAGTGAAAAAGATTACATTGAAAGTTGTATCTTATGTTCTTCCGACTTTACGGCGCAGCAGCGACCCCCCCCCCCCCCACTTTCTCCGCCAGCTTACACCAACTTACATCCGTTCTGTTCATGCAGGTAAGGTTGCTTTTTTTAAGCTCGAGTGTTTTACGCTAAAGATTTGCAAGTCTCAGGACATCCCTCTAGAAACGCCTCTTATGACATACATGATAAATTTCACCGATATTATTATATTCTCCCATTAACCACCACGGATGAGACTGGTGGAGGGGGGAGAACTGCGAATGGTCGAGCTGTGTGATGCAAATAAGGTAATGTTCAGATTTGTAGATTTGTAGATTTCCTCTCAATGCCATCCTGGACAGTTGTTGTTAATGGATTTGCTCTTGTTTAACTCACGTCCATGAGGTGTTAATCCTGTGGACAGCAGTACTGAATGGAAACAATTACCTACCGTCGCAAAAACTGTGTTCTTGATCGCTCTCCCCAAGCATTGTTGACACCATGTTTGCTCTACCCACATATTGTTGACACCATGTATGCTCTACCCAGGCATTGTTGACACCATGTATGCTCTACCCAGGCATTGTTGACACCATGTTTGCTCTACCCAGGCATTGTTGACACCATGTTTGCTCTACCCAGGCATTGCTGACACCATGTATGCTCTACCCAGGCATTGTTGACACCATGTATGCTCTACCCAGGCATTGTTGACACCATGTATGCTCTACCCAGGCATTGTTGACACCATGTTTGCTCTACCCAGGCATTGCTGACACCATGTTTGCTCTACCCAGGCATTGCTGACACCATGTATGCTCTACCCAGGCATTGCTGACACCATGTATGCTCTACCCAGGCATTGCTGACACCATGTATGCTCTACCCAGGCATTGCTGACACCATGTTTGCTCTACCTACATATTGTTGACACCATGTATGCTCTATCCAGGCATTGTTGACACCATGTATGCTCTACATAGGCATTGTTAACACCATGTATGCTCTACCCACATATTGTTGACACCATGTATGCTCTACCCAGGCATTGTTGACACCATGTATGCTCTACCCAGGCATTGTTGACACCATGTATGCTCTACCCAGGCATTGTTGACACCATGTATGCTCTACCCAGGCATTGTTGACACCATGTATGCTCTACCCAGGCATTGTTGACACCATGTATGCTCTACCCAGGCAGGCATTGTTTCCCCAATTTATGGTTTTCCCAGTCATTGTTTACCCAAAGAGTATGCTCTCCAAAAGCAATTTTAACACCAAGGTATGCTCCCCCAGGCATTGTTCACCCCAAGGTATGATCTCCCCAGGCATTGTTCACTCCAAGGTATGCTCCCCCAGGCATTGTTCACTCCAAGGTAGGCTCCCCCAGGCATTGTTCACTCCAAGGTATGCCCCCCCCCCCCCAGGCATTGTTCACTCCAAGGTATGCTCCCCCAGGCATTGTTCACTCCAAGGTATGCTCCCCCAGGCATTGTTCACCCCAAGGTATGCTCCCCCAGGCATTGTTCACTCCAAGGTATGATCTCCTCAGGCATTGTTCACCCCAAGGTATGCTCACTCAGGCATTGTTCACCCCAAGGTATGCTCCCCCAGGCATTGTTCACTACAAGGTATGATCTCCTCAGGCTTTGTTCACTCCAAGGTATGCTCCCCCAGGCATTGTTCACCCCAAGGTATGCTCCCCCAGGCATTGTTCACTCCAAGGTATGCTCCCCCAGGCATTGTTCACCCCAAGGTGTGATCTCCCCAGGCAGTGTTCACTCCAAGGTATGCTTCCCCAGGCATTGTTCACACCAGTGTATGATCTCCTCAGGCAGTGTTCACCTCAAGGTATGATCTCCTCAGGCATTGTTCACCCCAAGGTATGATCTCCTCAGGCAGTGTTCACCCCAGGGTAAGTAAAGTAAAGTAAGTAAAGTCTAGAACCCAAGGTATGGTCTCCTTAGAAATTGTTCACCCCATGGTGTGACCTCCGATGGCATAAACCACTTGGGCTCAAGGCGTGCTCGTCCATTCCAAGGT